ATTGTTAGTATTTTATTTTATTTTTATTTATTTTTTTATTTTTTCTTTATTTCTTGGTGATTTTTTCCACTTTGTCAGGCTTTCTAAGTGACAATTTAATGAGTTTTGGGCCAATAGATCCTAACCCAATTGGGATTAGATCATTAAGTATGGAAATACTCATTGGGCTTAATTACTCAGTCAACTTAGGCTTTATAAAAAAAATATTTTCAACTCCAAGTTAAGCATGCAAAAATTTTATTATTTTAATTAAAAGTCCAAGTTAAGGCTTAAGTAAAGTATATTACTTTAAAAGTTATTTCTTAAGAAATTTATTTAGAGTTAACATAAACGGTAAACTTGATTATTTCACTGACAATGAATTAAAAATTTTTAAAGTAATATCAAATAGATCAATTACTACTTAACTCTGTTAATTTGGCAAGTGACACTTTCTTTTTCTTTTTTTTGAAAGAAGAAAAATATAAAAGGTAAAATAAAGAGGAAAAGTAACTACTTCTCACCCTTACACTTAAATTTTGTATTGTCCTTAATGCAAACTCCATGATACATAAAGCAGATATAAGTTGAATTACTTACAATTGTTCGGTTAACCAAGAACAATGATGATAAAAATCTGCAATTACCTTTATAGTGAGGATGAAGGAAACAAAATAAAACCTAATGTGGTTCATGGAGAACCAAAACCTCCTCTTCTCCGAGCGTAGAATATTCTAAAAATGATTTCAAGCATTAACCATTAATTTTGAAAATATGACCATTTTAGGGTTTTCTATCTCGACAGTCCCAAGTGAGAAAACTTGTTTGACATTAAATGGACCTGGCCACCTTGATCTTAATTTTTTAGGAAAAAGATGTAATTTTGAGTTGTAGAGTAAAACCTTTTGTCCCGGATTGAAATTTTTTCACAAAATTGAATTGTCATGAAAAATCTTTGTTTTCTCTTTGTAAAATTTTTAGTTTATATATGCATTATTTCGAATTTCTTCTAACTCATTTATTTGAAGCAATTTGTTTTTACTTACCGAGTCTAAATCAAAATTTAACTATTTGATAGCCCACAATGCTCGGTGTTCCAACTCCACTGGTAGATGATAAGCTTTTCCAAACACGAGCCTGTACGGTGACATCCCCAAATTTGCTTTGAATGCTGTACAATATGCCCACAGAGCATCACACAATTTTACAGAACGATCTTTTCTATTATAATTAACTGTTTTTTCTAAGATTTGTTTGATCTGCATATTTATGACCTCTATTTGACCACTGGTTTGGGGGTGATAAGGAGTTGACAGTTTGTGTGTGATTGAATATTTCATCATCAAAGCCTTAAAAGAACGGTTACAGAAATGTGTACCGTTGTCACTAATGATCACTCAGGGCATTCCAAACCGCGCAAAAACATTCTCCTTCAAAAACTTGATAGCAACCTTGTTGTCATTAGTCTTGCAAGCTACTGTCTCAACCCATTTTGACATGTACTCGACGGCTACTAGATTGTGGATATTTCCAAAGGAATTTAGAAATGGTCCCATGAAATCTATACCCCACAAATCAAAAGGTTCAACAACTAAGATGGGTTGTAAGGGCATCATATTTCTTCTAGTAACTTTCCCTAAGAGTTGATAGTGGTTACATGTTTTACAAAACTTAAATGAATCTTTGAAAAGAGTGGGTCAGTATAACCCGGACTGGAGAATTTTTTCAGCTATTTTTCTTAGGCCAAAGTGGCCCCCGCATGCTTGCTCATGACAGAAGGATAGAAGACTCCTAGTTTCTTCAGTAGGAACACACATCCTAAAGATCTGATCATGATAGTATTTGAACATATATGGATCATCCCAGTAAAAGTATTTTACCTGGGAAAAAAAACGGGATTTATCCTGTTTGGACCAATGAGATGGGATCTATTTCATGACCAAGTAATTCACAATATCAGCAAACTATAGAACATATTGGATTTGGAGGAGTTGTTCATCTGGGAAATGTTCGTTGATAGGGACGGTTGATGTTGGTGCATTTGGAAGCCTAGAGAGGTGATCAACTACAGGGTTTTCTGCTCCTCTTCTATCAAGAATTTGAATGTCAAACTCTTAAAGTAGGAGAATCAATCTAATGAGTCATGCCTTTGCATCTTTTTTGGTCAAAAGATACTTAAGTGCGGCATGATCTGTGAAAATTTTGGTCAAAGACCCGATGAGATAAGAGCTGAATTTTTCTAAGGCAAAGATTACAGCTAAAAACTCTTTCTCAGTGATAAAGTAATTTTGTTGGGCATCGTTCAGAGTCCTACAGGCGTAGTAGATCACATGCGGTTTACCATCAATCCGTTGTCCTAAGACAGCACCAATTGCAGAATCGGATGCATCACACATCAGTTCGAATGGTAAGGTCCAGTCTGGTGCATGAATGATATGGGCTGTGGTTAGCTCCTTTTTCAGATATGCAAAGGCTTTGAGGCACTCGGGAGAGAAAATAAATGATTTATCCTTGACTAAAAGATTGGTCAAGGGTCTAGCCATTTTGCTGAAATCCTTGATGAAAAGTCGATAAAAACCATCATGACCAAGAAATGATCTAATATCTTTGACAGTTTTGGGAGGAGAAAGGTTAGAAATGAGATCTACCTTGTCCTTATCTACTTCGATCCCTCTGTTGGAAACTACATGTCCTAAGATAATGCCCTGTTTGACCATAAAATAACATTTCTCCCAATTAAGAGTCAAATTTTTCTCCCTACACCATGCTAGGACCAGTTTGAGATGATGTAAACACTCAGAAAACGTGTCATCGAAAATGAAAAAGTCGTCCATGAAAATTTTGAGAAATCTCTCTACCATGTTAGAAAAAATACTGATCATGCAACATTGAAATATAGCAAGTGAATTACACAGCCCAAAAGGCATGCGTCGGTATGAGAAAGTTTCATATGGGCAAGTGAATGTGGTTTTCTCTTGATTTTCTGGAGCGATGGGGATTTGATTGTAACCTGAATATCCATCCAGAAAACAATAGAACTCGTGTCTTGCTAATCGCTCTAACATTTGGTCAATGAAGGGAAGAGGGAAGTTATCTTTTCGAGTGGCTAAGTTGAGTTTTTGGTAGTTAATGCAAACTCGCCATCCAATTTGGATGCGAGTGGGAATCAACTCATTAGCCTCATTTTGGATCACGGTGATCCCAGTTTTCTTTGGGACGACGAGGACGTCGTCTTTGTAACGTGGGATGATTGTGACATCCCTACTTTAGTTTCACATTCACTAGTATGAAGAAATGTTTGTGGCTTAAATAGAAAAGTCCAATGCCCAAGAATAACTAGTGCTAGTATTTTGAATGTGGATTTCAGCCAACATCGAGTTGCTCTCGGTGGGTCCCACGACTTGCACTCGACAATGGGCCCGTGGGCTCGGGGCATGATATACATTGTACGGTCTTTGAAGCCTACCAAATCTGGTTGTGATTTGGATGAACTTTGGTCATGTTGAAGAAGGTGCTTCGTAAGAAGGAAGATTGGATGTAGGATTTTGATCCGAACCACTATAAAGATCTCATGTATTCCTGTGTTGGTTTGCTTTTAGTTTTTTTTTCTTATTTTTTTTCTGCTACTTATTCCGAGTTAGTCGAAAAATTATAACAATCATATTTACCCCCCTCTAGGCTTGCATCCTAGTTCCAACACATAAAATCTGACTTCGGTCATTGGTTTATTAATCAATATCTGCACAAAAATGCTTTATACACCCATTTGGATGTTCTAAAAAGATCCACATGCATGCAATGTAGCAAGGAAGAGGGTAAATTTCACAAAACTATCATATTAACTGTTAGGAGCGGATACGGTTTTGCATAATAAAACTACTATAAACTACTTTTACTAGAGAAAAATATCATGTTCAAACTTGTAAAAAATTCATATAGCATCATAAAATTACCTTAACGGCATTAGTAGCGTTGTTAAAGTCTAAAATACACCCTAATAAGAAGAAATATACTCTCTCTCACTCACACTCTCTCTCTCTCTCTCTCTCTCTCTCTCTCTCTCTCTATATATATATATATATATATATATATATATATATATATATATATATATATATATATATATATATATATATATATATATATATATATATATATATATATATATAGAGAGAGAGAGAGAGAGA